CAATTTCATACCAATAATTTTAGTTAAAATAAGAAACTAAAGCAAGAAAGCAGCCTACAAAAAGCATCTTGCCAAAAATATCTATGTACCTGTCTTTAATACAGATCTTGATTGTAGGTTTTTCATACCCTTGTGTGTCTCATTGTATCTCAGTTGAAGTCAGTCTGTTAAATAACAGCATCTGGAAAGAAAATAATGCTGCCTTCTCAGAAGAGTTTACACTGTAATCTCCTAGATTTATTAATATTGAAAATCTTGTAATAATTCAGCTTGGAAGGGACATATGGGATCATCTCATCATCCAGTCAAACCCACAGACCAGAGCAGCACCAAATTTGAAGCTGGCTCTAATTTCAAGGTCAGATAAATCGCCTGGGGCCTTGTCCACTTTAGCTTTGAGTATCTCCAAAACCAGAGATTTCAGAGTCTCTCAAAGCAACTTGTTTCTTTACTGATTATCATCACTGAGAAAAACTTCCTTTATTTTGGCATAAAACATTCTGATCTCTACTGGCCATTTAAAAAAAAAGAAAGAAGAGCAAAATACAAGTCTTCTACACAAGTCATATTTTCACAACAAACTTACTGGCAAAGACATTGAGCATACAAGTCTGAAAGACAGGATGGGTTAAGCACAAAATTGTGAAACATACTTAATGCAAAGGAAGGACTTATGTGCTGCCTATAATTGCATTTGGTGACCTGGCAGGTATTCTAGGCTTGTCTTTGCTGAAAGACCTTAAAAGATCCTGAGATTATTTCTTTATTCTTATTCTCTAACTTGTTCCAAATGGATTTAAAAGTAGTTTTTCTAAATGCCTGACTGTCATTGTAGTGAATTTATCAAACTCATTATTCAGTGGTAATATTCTCAACTTCATGGTTCCTGGAACCACACCTTAAATGTTATCAAGGGTCAGTTTATTCCCATGTTACAAGAAAAAAATGCGTGGAAGGCAACATACTCTTACACATGCCCACCTCACATTCTGAGACAACAGGCCCTTCTAGTATCACAGTAATTTCCTGCTGAAAACATGTTCCTATTGTTTGTTTTAATTTGAATAGTTGAACAGCATCATGAGCCTTTCACGGGGTAAATGGTTGGGCAGGTAATTTTGGCCTCTTGTGAGATCCACTCAAATATACAAATCAATTATATGGCATCCATGCTGAGAAAACATATTAACTTTAAAATGCACAGCAGTAGCCTGGTCTCAATAAAAATAATATTTAAAATCCACTCTTAAAATATAACTCCAAGTTGCAGCTGAATGTGAAATATCCATTTCCAGGCAATTGCACACAATTTCTATCATGCTTTGGAAGACATGCATATGCACCAGCAATAATAAAAGCTGAACCCCCACGGCTCTGAGTGATCGAAACAGGGAAAGACTTAAAACCTTCCAAAATATGCAGAAATGCAGTGAGCCTTGTGACTTCACAGCAGGCCTCTGGTCACAGTATGTACAGCACAGAGGAACCCTTGGCCTTACGTGTTGTAGTAGAACTGCTTCAATCCCAAACTTGTCAGTCTAGGAATAACATGATTCATTCTCATGGGTTTCTTCCATACAAGAAGAATGATAAGACTATTAAGCTTGGAGCAAAACCTGATTCTTACAGTCCATCATATAATCTCTTTTGCCTCGAGAGCTGAAACAGGCCTTAGAAAAATATTAGAATTTGCAGAAAATCCAGAGAGTGCAGGTAAAGACAAACTCAAATCTTAATATTGCAGGTACTTGTGCTTACACTGCAGGAACAACTTTCAGTTTAACCTGCTTCACAGCTGGGATGCGGAAAATTTTTCACAAGCTAAAATGAATATGTTTGTTCAAGGCCTTTTGACATGGTTATTAAGGCAGATTCCATCAAAACACTTATTCACAGGATGCAGTCCTTACTTTGGAAATGAAGGTTTCCAGTGGAGAATTCCCATTTAAAATGTTCCTGCCTCACAGCAGGATTTCACGACACATTTATAATTCAGATTCCAAATGAGAATAATTGTTTATGGCCAAGTTCTCAAAGAACAGGGAATGCTGAGCTAACAGAAAGATTACCTTCTCTTTATGTGTATAGATGTAACCCTAATTAATACGTTCCTTGGCAGGTACAGAGAAGAATAAGTAGGATGCTTTAACACCAGTTTTATTTACCTTACTGATGAGGACTCCAAAGTCTGCAGTTGTAAACAAGAGTGGAATGAAAAAACTCTCAGCAAAACCGATTTTTCTGTAGAGATTTGTTCTATTTTATTGCTCCTCAAAAAGCATTTATCTTTCATGCAGTCCATCTGGATTTATAACAACTCTATTCCTGCCACCAGCCTTCTTTTCTATTTTGGAAACTTAACTTCTGTGGAAGTTTTCAGTGTCTTTTAACTGAGATGAGTGAGAACAAATTTTTTTGTATGAAAGTGTAGTAGTTTGATCAGAGAACTACAGTGAGACAGTAAAGTTGGTTATGAATTATCATCTTGGTAGAGGAAGGCAAATCTGTGCTTAGGGAGAAATCACTCTAGCTGAGTAACACTTAAGTATCATTAGATCCCTTTTGAAAATGTTCTTTGTACATAGAAAACTGGCATAATGGGAAGCAAAATTGTTGCTGGGAAGATTGATCATCTACTAGCATGGACTAGCATCAGCAGTCTATCCCCCTGTCTTCTCACATTTTTTGTTCCACTAAATTATACATCAGATGATGACCTGCTTGAGAAGTGAAGCATGAACCAGTTGTTTCCTGAGCAAAGACAAGGTGTGCTTCTCTTTGCACATCATTTTCTAAGAGGCAGCAGCAGTGACTGTGAATCTGACATCATTCTCTATGTTGACTTTGAGTTACTGAGAATATTTCCCTTACTTCCAACTCAAATACATTCGTTTTACAGAGGGATTACATGGAAAGAATGGATTTGAACGGCTGGAGCACATTGTGGAAGAATGGTTTATATTTATTTTGATACAGCATCATTCCTTATGGAAACAGGAATGGGGAACCAGTCATTCCAAAAAAACCACTTCTTTCTCTGAAGAACCTGCCAAAACATGCTCAGTAAGAGCTGCTAAATTTAGAACAAAAGTTCTATATGAGAATTGATCCAAAGCTTATTATGATTTATGCAAACTCTGATATTGCACTTCCAAGCAGATACCTGTTTGTTGACTGAAACTACAGCATTTTTCTAGTTCTATTTGGCTGCTGAAAAACTTCATTAGTCCCTGCTAATCTGTAGTGTGATACCTCCCAATCTGTTAACTGGGGTGGATAGAGAAGATGAGGGACTCAGTTATCGCCAAACAGAAATGTTCATTCTTTTTTTATTCAATCATTTGCTTACAACAGATTATTAATAGAATAACTTTGAACTCCAGTTTTGGGCAAGCTGATGAAACAAAATGAACTTTGAGGTGCTAAATTAACAAATAGCATGTGAAGGGGGTTTCATGTTTTATAGCCCTGTGCACCAGAATTCATAATGCATAGTGACTTAACAACTTTCACTGCAGGTAAATTCCAGCTCAAGATATCCAGAAAGGCTCACATGATACATGTATAATTTATGGAAGATGAATATTTAATCAGGCATTAATCATGTTCTAAAATGATTTAGGAATGTCTTTACATCCAAAGACTGAAAATACCCAATCTTTCTAGTCACAATCTTCCATTCAGATATGAAGCCACATCACACAGGCTGGAACTTTTCTTCCCTAGTAATACAAGATGTGTGTAGCAACCCAGACTTCAACTGAAGTGTCACTGCATATTTATGTTACTTTAAAAACCCACGGGGAACTAAAGACAAGATCTGATGTTACTTTCATCTCACATCATTGCTGGTAAACAGTGGAAAAGCTGGGTTTAGTATCTGCTATTTAACTGAACGTGTTTTAATTTAGAAAGTTGTGTATAGCACAAGAAGCTGCCTGTGCAATGGTTTCAGTGTGGGTATGTGAGCAAAGGCCAAGTATTCTACATGTTCAGTGCGGGGTCTGCAGGAAATCACATTTTCAGCAGGACTGACAATGGAGCCATTCAGCCTCCTGAGCTCTCAGCCTCAGTGTCTCAGCACACTGCACACACATGGATACTCTGTCTGGATGACAAGTAACTTAAGACAAAGTGAATTCATGATTATAAAATGCTTTCAGTCTTCCTCCTGCTTTCACTTCCTTAAAGACTAAACAAAATTAGGTTGTCTGGAGAAAAAGAATGAAAAAATGACCTCTTTCGTACATGATTCATCTCTGCACATACTAAGCTCACTAGGTATACGTTGCTTGTAAACATTTCAATTCAAATTTTAAGGTAGGTTTACAATTACAGGTAATTGGACTATGGTGGCACAGAGATCAGTTTTGTTCAGAAAGAACTGGAAATTAATTAGTCTGCATCATTGTTCCAGGAAGATTCATCCTCAGATAATCTCCTTTTAAAATTTTGTTAAATCATATTGTGTAATACTGTAATAGTCAATCCAGTGACAGTCTCCAAGTCAAACACATTGAAAAATGCCTGAACTGCTGGCAGAACACAAGAGTCCTGCTTAGTTCTAATCCAATCTGTTCTTTCAAAATCCTTTACAAGTAAGGCAGCTCACAGTATCAGCCTGTCATTTGTGACCTTCCCAGCATGGAACTCTTAAACCTAGGAGACAGAACAAGAACACTACCTGGACAAAATAATGATTTCTTGGAAGTATATATTCACACAAGGTATAAAGGCAATAATTTAAATTGTTTATTTTTTAACAACACAAAGCTACTCCATTACCAGACTTACTCAGAAATAGATTAGATTTAGGAAAAATGCAGAATATTTTAAATCCCTGAGAATGATGTCCTCTCATTCTTTTATGCATTCCCTGCCCACCCCCCTCCCCCTGCCCCCAGAAAGTGCTGGAAATTTAATTTCCTGCTCAGCTGAACTTTTAGTGCATCACCATCCATTCTTTATATCAGCATGAAATTTAAAAATGCAGGCAAGCAGAGAGTTTAAGAATGACAAACTTGGGTAGCAGAAGCATTTCCTCCTATGCAATGCAAGTTCCATTACTGAGTTTCAGGAGGAAGCCATCCTGCAAGGTAACAAAGCAGATCCAGGCATAACACATGCAGAGGATTTGCAATCCAAGTTCAGACATTTTTCTAGTAAGACTGCTGTCTCTTGTGCAAGGATGCAACACATCCATCACAGAACTCCTCTAGCTGACACCTGACCACCAGCATAAATAAGCAAAGCATGGGGAACAAGGATAAACTTGAGTACTTTCAAAAGCTGCAGCTGATACTGGTGCTACCCTGATAGTGGCCAGCTCTTCTGCTGGAGATGGAAAAAAATCTAATAAAACTAAAGGCATAACTCAACTAAAATAAAATTATTTCCAATATTAGAGGTAGATTTTTTCCAGTGTAATACATAACATCTGCTCCTGTAAGAGCAGAGATGTAGGAATTAAATTATTAAGATCAATTTCAACACCTATGTGTTCTTAGAATAAATAAGGCAAGCTTTTTCTATGTCCTTCAGGAAAGCAGGCACACCAGTCTGTAAAGAGAAAGGCAGAAAAGTTATTCTTGCATAATGAAATCAGTAAAAACTATAAGCAAAATGAGAATTGCCATTATATATATCAAGGACTTCAGATATAATTCTAAGATGTAATATACATTTGTCTAAGAAACAAGTCTAAGATCTGGTACACTGCATCAAGCCATTCCTTGAACACTTTGGGAACAAACTGCATTATTGAAGTTTTCTTGTCTTGAGGCTATTCATATATGCTCTGAAACACAGATTATTTGGGGTTTGCTGCATAAATTTACCTGCTAGGTTGACAAACCAAAGGAATTTGACAGGAATTAAAGTAAGTAAATTAACTGAGACCATTGTCATGAGAGCATCCAATAGTGACACTGTAAATATGGGACCATATAAAAGTTAGGAAGGTTAAAATATCTGTTTCAGAAAAAATTAATTCTGTCCAAAACATAGAAGATGGGTATGAGTGCAGTGAATTCATTGTTTGAAATAGATTATCCAAAGATCATTGTCTGTAACCTTTCCTTACCTTGGCAGCCCAGTTGACCAGCCAGGATGGAATCATGCCACCAGGATTATCAAAATAGTACATATAGACTAGAGAGGAGAGAGAAGTTACCAAATACCAATTACTCAGCTCTAACACACTGTGAGAGAAGCTATCAGTGTGCATCACTGAAGCACCAACTACCACAGTTCTACTCTAAATTCTGCACAAAAAATTCAACTTTTCTTGAAGTGAAATGTGAAGTAAATACAGGCATTCCCTGTTAACCTCTGGGAAGCTGACAGAGCCACAACAGGCATTCCGATTATTGCAAAACATTTTTGGCACCCTGTCTTATAAAATAAGACTGTCTTTAAAAGACTAATCTCAAGACAGGAATCAAGCTCTAGGCAAACCCTTTAATCTATCCATCTGTCAAACACAATACTTGAATCATTGCTGAGTTAAGAAAATTGCAGCAGTCTCCCCAGCTGAACTGTCTGGCAGGAAAAGAACTACAGACTGGGGGTGGGATGGGAGGGCAGAGGGAAGTGGTCAGTAGACTATTCTTAACCACCCAGCCCAACTGCTAAATAAAAAGATTCTTCACAGTAGTGCACTGCACTGGACATTTCCAAAGGTTTCATTCATTTTAAAGTAACCCTTGTCTTAAAATTTCCAGTCCCCCTCTTCGTGTGTTTTGCTGATACAGACATTCCTGGCTACACAACTTGTCACACATTTTCTTGACCTCTTACCTTTACATCCAGCCTTGCCATCACTTTCAATTACCAGGCTTTGTTTATAGCTCTTAACTCTGATAATACCAGGCTTCTCAGGGCACTGAGGAACAGCCACACTTTTTGCTAACACAACCCAGATCTTCCTCCCATGCACATCCATCTCCCGGCATTCCCGGGTGTAGACATACTGCATGGCAAGTTGAGGAGGCATGTCAAAACAATGTCAGTTTGAGGGATGAGGAGTTGACAAGTGAATTCCATCACAAACGGGCCCTCCTTCAAGTTATTTCTCATGTCCCTACAGGACTCAATCCTGCAGAGCAGTAATTCAGCTATGGGAGCTCTAGCTCTGTGTGGGAAGAGGCACCCACACTCCTCTTCATGCCATATATATTCATGTAACATGAGGACTGCAAGATCTTAGATCAGAGCAGCAGAGTGATGGAATCAGTTCGTTGTTGGGATTCCTGGATGACCAAGTAGCAAAAACTGCCAGAGGAACAAAACCTTGAAAGGATACGTCTCTGTTTGAGAGAGGAAAAGGGTACTTCACTTCCCAGTAGATTACTTTTTCACCATCATATGTTTCCTCATACAGTTCTACAGTTGAAAGAAGAAGACTGTTAGATATTTTTAATTTCTACAGCAACAGAAATGTAGATGCCATCAAGAACTGCTCAGATTTCTGACATGAACACATTTTACATGCAACCCTGATGTCAAAATTGATATGTATGTAGAATTTTAGCAGTAAGAGACATTAAAAAGTTCTGTACCAAGATTGTTCAGGAATCTAACACACAAAAATAGGTGGCCTGTTTTTTTGAGGCTATTGGATTAATTAGTGAAAAAAAAAACCAAACAAAAAAAAACCAAACAAAAAAAAACCTCCGAAAAACCCCAGAACATAAAATCAGAACAATTCCGAGGGCAGCAGAGTTAAGTTCCTTTTCCAAGTTTGTTCATTCAAAGCCTTTCCATCTCACAGCTTTTTTCTCATCTGTGTATGTTTTGCACAAGTCTAAGTCACAAGCACAATGTGCTTTTTCACAGGCATGTCATTACCCTTGTAAATTATACTGAATTAACATGGAACTAGGATGAGTGCAACTTTCTAACGCCTGAAGACAAGTTACATGAGGGATTAATGAATTTTGGAAAAGCTGTCACAAATTTCACATGCAACAGCAAACTAGAATCTTGAGCAGTTGATGAGCCTTCATTACACCACCTTCAGTCTGCCTAGAAACTCAAATCAGAAGGCTTTTTCCCTATACAATACATTCCAAACCAGGCTTCTGTTGGTATGCCCTGCAGATCAGCTGTCACCCACGGAAACAGCTTCTCCTCTTCTCCAGCTGGAGCAGGACTGGATGCACCTGGTGTCCTAATAGCCCACAACATTTATGTTTTCCACCAGAGGTCACTGGAGCATTGGATTATCCACTTAACTCACTTCTAAACACAGAGATTTCCTTTATCAAAGGCACCATGACCCTGTTTTAAAGACTTCAATGCAACTGTTATTAGCCACCTCATTTACCTGTGTATCTTTGCAAACCCAGGAAAAACACACAATACGTAAACCACATTCCACCTTGCATTCACTTCAAACCAGAATTCAGTGCATTTTAATCAAGAATCTGATTTCATTTGGCATCACTACACGAGATCACAAGTCCATTCTATCCATAATAAGCACAGCAGCTCCCACTGCTTCAACAGTCAGTAATTACTGTGAAATTGTTGGGAAGTGTGATCTCAGTCAGGAAGGTGCTGTAATCAGGAGTAGCAAGTTTCAGTATTGCTCAGGCCCAACAACTTTGCATCATGCCACAGAAGCACGTGGTACCTCAGTCACCACTCTACAGTTCAGTCACAACTTCCCTGCTCAACTGGCAGCTGCAGCACAAACCAGGCTCAGGATGTCCACATCTTGTGGACGTACAGAGACATGCAGAAGCATTTGCCTTTTCAGCTAAAAAGGCAGCTGCTTCTGCTCTGGTCAGGTTTTTCTTTCAATGCCAGTCAGCAGTTCAGCAGAGAATTCTCCTTTGGACTGACACTTGTATGGCTGTAAGAGCACCAAGGAATAAAAACAGTAACACCAAGAGCAAGAAGGCTCTCAGTGGAAGTTTTCTGGGGTTTCTTCCTAAATGTGAAAGAAAAAGCCCTGACTGAACTGGGGTTACATTTAAAACACTAGCTAGCACTCTCATCATAAGTGCCATCCCAAAAAACAGGTGGGCTTGTGTCAATTTTTAAGTAGCAAGGAAAGCATTACATTATATTTATGCCCTGTAAGAGTTAATTTCTGTGAAATGCTGGACTTAAAACACCAGAACAAGTATAAATTAACAGATGAACAAACCATGGTCAGCAAGGATATTAAGTGTCAGATCTGCAACATTATCTAGTTTTTAGTTTAAGGGTGTAGCTTCCCCCAGCAGCTTCCTTTCTTTTCTCTATGAAGGAATTAAAAAAAAAAAAAAGTGTTTATTTAAGAAGCACTCATTTCTGCTAAATGCACTAAAAGGCTGCTGAAGTACTCAACAGAATATTTTACATCCAATACAATAATGGTGAGTCCCACTCTGACTCTTTCTTTCATTAATGGCAAAATGGCTTTTGCTACAAGGAAGCTACTGAACATTTTGACAATTAACACTTCTTAATGAAGACATCACTCCTTAAATTTGACCAAGACTGACATGAGTTAAATTTATGGGCTTCTGTATCAATGCAGCCACTGGCATTATCAGCTATCATTCACTGTGGAGCTGTCCTCAACCTAACAAGCACAATATTTAACAAGTTTTTAGTTTTTAACACTGCTCTTTGTTCAGCAAAACACTTGGACCACTTTTCAGTTTTACTGGCCTGCTCTGACTTCAAGCATAGGCTTAAAAAAGCAGACTTCTTTTTAGCATAGGCTAAAAAGAAAAGGCTACCCATCTTTAAAATGAATTGATTATTAGATATCCACATCAGCTGAATCCTTACTTTGCTGTTGCTGACTTAAGATGTTTTAACACCATATGGATATCCATGTTCAATGCCTTTTTTCAAAGACAACATTAAATAAACTTAACTAAATTAGTTATTTCTTCTCTGTGAAAGCCTGAAGTTACCACATATTCTCTCGATACACCCATTCCTGACTGTAAAAGGTGCCAAGAACAGCCCATGCTTTCAGGAAAAGATATTCCATCATGCTCATCAAACTGGTGGAAGCCTGAGGAAAAATTTTCACAATTAGCCTTTGAAATAATCTCCCCAAGCATAAATTTGAAGACTCAGCTGAACAGGGTGCTGGCCATTTGTTGTGACTGTGCTCTCAGCAAGGAAGTTTGGACCAAGATGATCCAGGAAGTCCCTTCCAACCTGCACGATGCACTGCTCCACTGCCATATGCAAAGATGCACAAAAGGTACGACCCCCATTTCTCCCCAAGACATCCACTAAAATTTAACCTAAGCATTACAACTAGAAGTTACAAGGTGCTCCAGCATAACCAGTGATGCCAATCATATGCTTTAACCAACGTGGAAATAATTCATTCCAAAGGAAATGGATCCCTCCACCAATGTCTAATGTTGAGACATTAGGGATTCCATATCAGTGTTTACTTGTATATTTGCAGAGTGCAACCTTATCCCAAAAGATATTTAAGTCTGAGACAAAGTCTCTGGAGGCAGTAACTCTGAAATACCTTTGAGGAAAGTTTTAGTGGGAACAATCAATGTGGACTCCAGCTTGCTTTTACCTAGATGAGCTTACCTTTAACATACTGATCCCACTCTTTTCTGAAATCCAAGTCCATGTAGACATCTACACACAATTTTGGGGGAACATCAGCAAGGCCACCAAAGATTTTATATTCATAAAGTCCTGATTGCTGTGGAAACAGAATGAAGAGAGGAAAAGTCACACAGGAAAGGGAAGTACTCTGCATCAGGGAGAACAGCTGAAGGAAGTTAGGTGGGGCACAAATTACAAATATGCTCAAGAGCTGCGAAAGCAAGTGTTCAGAAAACAATATAAGATTCAGTCTTTAACCTCTTGACTTTTTGATCTATACATGAAAGTGTAAATCAAGCCAGGCTGACCTGCCCTGCACAATGGCTGTTCCTTCCCTTACACCAGTACCCTTTTACTTCATCAGGAGTTCCAGAGGGAGCATGTTCACAAACACAGTCCCCTTTTCATCTCCAGTGGTCAGTGTGGACTAAATGCTGCCCACACTGAGGTTTACCAGAAGCATTAAATTCTTGTGGCAAGTTAGTTATGCTTACACATCAGGCTGGGATACAAGAATGCTTTACAATGTCCACACTTATATAAAACACACTCATATCTGCCTTGAATATTTATCAGCTATTTTCTTTCAGAATACTGTACGCACTGAAGGGGTGGGGTGCAGGATATCTCCTGTTTTAATATTACTTTCAACATATGTTAATTCCATCTGTGCCTATAGATCAATGTTTGTACCATTGTTAGTATGAGTTCAGGACTAAATTAAAACAATGAGAGTTCAGGACTAAATTGAAACAATGAGAGTATTTCAAATATACAATGTAGAAATCAAATCAAAGCGTTCCCAAGGAAAGGAAAAGAAGGATTATACAACATTCTGTTAGTGAATAGATGAATTCTCCTCTTTTCCTCGCCTTCACAAATCAACTCCAGAAGATGAAGATTTGAAGTACCATAAAATAGTAATGTCAGCAAGAAACTTAAACTACTCATCTTCACTGAAGCACCAATCACCAGCTTCAAACCTGAACTATTCAACATCTGTGTAACCCCATGCACTCATCTTTGTAAGAGGAATCAACAAGAATTGCTTTCTTAGTGTAAATTGCTGTTTTTCTTGTGAGAAAAACAGCAATTTACAGTAAGAAAGTTAAAACAAGAGTGAAATGTTTCTGTTTTTCTGAGGCATGTCATCAGGGGAGTCAATCAGTTTGGCTGGAATGCAGCACTGAGCAGGAAGGCCCAGATCTATTTCTGCAACCTGCAGAGAAGGTGGAAAGACAAGGCAAAAAGAGAAGGCAACAGGAAGAATAACTGCTGCTTTCAGCTTCCTGGACTACTGTTGCTACAGGGGAGTTGCAGTTCAGTAAGTGCTAAAAGCTAATTTTTCCAGTAACGACTTTAAACAAAGACCCTCCTCCCAGACTTCATCTTCTCTTGTAGCAATCTGAAGCAACTGAAAGACAAAACAGTTATTTCCCAGGAGACACAATACTGGACTTGAAAAGGTCCTTTGCATCCTATGTAGTCTGCCCATCCAGCCTCAACTAGGGGCATTGTACACTACACAAAAAAAAAAAAAAAAAAAAAAAAAAAAAAAAAAAAAAAAAAGACAGACATCTGTAAATGGTTTTTATAGTTTCAAATAGTCCTTTTAGCTCTTTAGTCCTTCTGTATAAAAGCAGGAGAGGATGAGGAGGAGAAGCCTGAGCTCCTTTCCATCTCACCAGCTGCATTCATACAATAGCAGCAGTGTGCAGAAGTGATGGTTTTTTAAAGAGGCTTTCCCCACCTGTGCCTTTAGCATAGCCCTGTAGGCTTGCTGTTTTTTTCTAACATTACCATGTCTGAAATGATTTCATAGAATACAAATACAAAATTGTCATGCAAAGAACAGCAAGGAGTCCAGAAGGAGCTGAGAGGAAACTATGATAACTCAGTTAAAAAACAGGATATTTATTTATATACATATAATTTTTTTATGTATTTAGAAGTCAGTACTGAATAATAAATCTGTGTCAAAATGGAAACACTGTCAATCACAAGTCAGTTCCTAAACTACTAAAGTTCTTTAAAGAAATTAGTCCCCCCAAAAGGGAAGAAAATTTCATTCTAACCCTTTCTGAACTACCTTCTGACTTTAGAGGTGGAAAATCAGTGTGAAGGGAGTTTTGGAGAGAGGCAGGAGGGGGCGAGGGCTGCTGGAGAGAGGATGCTGCGGCACGGGCGGGGCTCGGCAGTCGATGTTTAGGGACGCGCTCCCCTGAGCGCAATGAACGAGAACACGGGGCAGCTCCCCGTCCAGCCGCTCGGTGCTCGGTTCCGCGGGGTCACCGAGCCCGGCGGTTTTCCCATCAGCACTTAATGGCATTACCCGGAAAGCAGCTTTCTGCCAGCCCGCAGGAACCGAGCCCGGCCTGTGCGGGGAACCGGCGGCTGCGGCCGCGGCTGTGCGGGCCCCGCATCCCCATCAGCACCGCCCCAACCCCATCACCACCGCCCCATCCCCGTCACCACCGCCCCCAGCATCCCCATCACCACCGCCCCATCCCC